CATTCAGGAATGACTGTTAAGAATTTAGAAACATTGTTTGCCACTGAATCCAGAAAGCAACTACTGTGCTAAATACATTCTTCTAATACATGTCTGCACATAATGAGCTAGTGGCCAAGACACTGAAAATCCTAATTCACTCTCCTCTTGCAGCTGCGTTCAACTGCCACTTTAAACCGAAAGAACTCATGTTGGCTCCAACCTCAGGTGCCACCTGATGTTAAGCCCTCACTAAGTTCAAGAGAATGGAGCTTTGGGAAGGGCTGGAGGGAAGTATGAAAACCAACACGCAAACCAAAACTCACAAACCCCCAACAATGTGGTTGGTAAATGCCTCCAGGGCAGCGCTGCAACTTCTAAATCCTGGCATTCAGAAAGCACTCCACAAGTATGCGCTTGGAGAGCAAACAGCGTCCAGCCCACACTCAAGCCTCAGGCCACGAGCTCAGAGCTCACCTGCCTTTCTGCTGGCCGGCTCCGGGAGCCAAGTGACTCTGCCTTTTCTTATCTACAGCTGCTTCACAGCATGTTGATGGTGTTGAGTAATTGCGTGCACTCTGCAAAACCTAAACTACTTACTATTTGGCCCTTTGCAGAAAAAGTTTGCCAGCTCCTGGTCTAGTGTTTTACAAATGAGGAAAATGAGGCCCAGAGAGACGGGGTGACTTATGTAGTTTCATACGGGCATTTGTGGGGCATCAAGGACTGGAACCCAAGTCATCCCACCCCTCTTTCGCACACCCATAACCTGCTCAGGTTCCTGTCAACTTTCCCTGCAGGCTACATCCTCCAGGCCAGGGTAATTCCAGGGAGAGTCTGAATGTCTGTTGAGGGTGGATGGGATGCTTTCAGGGGTCAGCCAGGGGTCAGCCAAGGTTCAGGGAGAAGCCCCACTAAGCATCCCAGCTGGGCTGAAGAGACATTTGCTTTGGCCAAGGTGAACAGGAGCTCGTCCTGGTGGTTAATGTGATATGGGTGATGATGAGGAAAATGGGGACACCCACAGAATCTCCTAGGACAGGTATATTACACTGAATCGTAAGAAACTGCTGACTTTCGACTGTTTTTGACACACAAAATCAGAATTTCCTATGATCCAACCTAATATGATTATCTCATTTCACAAACGAACAGGGAGAGTCTCAAAGACATGAAGTCACTTGTCCTGGACACATCAAGTAAGAAGAGTGAGGCTCTAATTGCTCTGTCTGATTCCAAATCCTTGTAGAGAAACGTACACTGTTCTCCCATTTAACTCCGCTCATCCTCTTGATGACTCTCACCGATCTGGAGGAGGAGGTTCAAATTTCTCAGCGTACAAGGTTGTCATGACTTACTTTTGCTCTCTTCTGCGTAATAGCCACGTTGTCCTTTCCTCTCCTTCATCCTGACACTTCTCTCTTCCTCACCTTGCGCGTCTCACCTATCCCCAAGCCCTGCTGCTTTCACTACTTAAAAGTAAATTTCACTTCATTAAAAGTGCCTTGTGTATCTGGACACTTCTTTTTACTGCCACCTCCATCTCTTGTATGGATCCTGAGTGGCTTCCTCACTGGGCTCCTGGCTGGCTTCCCTGTCCCCTCCATACTGAAGCCATAGTGATTTTTGTAAGATGCAAATGTGACCCCTTCTCCCTGCTCATACTCTTCAGTGGCTTTTCCTTTCGCTCTTAGTGTAAAGATGCCCCTCATCCCAGCCTGAGCTCCGTGGGCCCGCGCTGCTCATCTCTTAGGTCCCCTCTCACCCCCTTTCTCATCTGCTCCCTGACCTCCTCCTACCTCGCAGCTCTTTGACTGTGCTGGCTTCCTTCCAGCGGGGCCTTTGCAGTACATGTTCTCTCTGCCTGGAATGTGCCTCGCCACGCCCTTTGTCACCAGTGCTCTGCTGTACTTCCCACAGATGTCAGCTCCAGGGCCACTTCCCTGACCCCCCCAGGCCTAGGTCAGTTTCTCCTGTTACCTTATCACCTAAAATAGAACTGCTTTCCTTCAGAGCAGTTGTTTCTTTACACACTTACACTTATTTGTGTGATAGATGTGTGACTCTCCAACACATCTGCAAGGTCCCTGAGAGCAGGGACGCTGTGAACCAGTCCCTGCCTGGCGTCTGGCACACATTCGTATACAAGGATGGGTAGATGAATGGTCCCTGTGGTCACCTGTTGGACGGCCACTCTCTGCCCTGTGGCAATCCCAGGAACTCTCCACTGCATCTCTGCCCACGATACCCGTTCTTCTCCCTCCTCCTGGAGAGCTCCCTGCCCCCCCTACCCCAGGGCCCTACCCCACTGTCACCTCTTGGAAGCCCCCTGCACTGAGCTAGTTCCTCTCCCATTTGGATTTTTTTTTTTCCATTGCACTTTGTACTTCTTTCTGTCATCCCACTAAGCCGACTGCAGTGACAGGTGTTTTTTTGCTCCTTAAGTGACTATGAGCTCCTTGTGGGCCCCTCTGGATACCTCACGCCCAGCATGGCATCTTCGCCTCAGGGCACTGAATGGGGTGGTGCTGAAGTGGATACAATGCCTTGTCTTTAGGGCACGAGGCTTTGAATTGGCTTTTCTGGTGCCCAGTCATCCTCCCCTGACCCACGTCCCAGGCACACACACACAAAATCTCTACAACACTTAGGTGTTTCCCTCACTGCTGGGAGTGATTTTCACGAGAACTCTGCAGCCGAGGAAGGTAAACATCCAGTGCTCTCCTGAAGCCACACCTGCAGACTTAAAGTGCAGACACTCCAGGTAACAGGGAGCCAGTGACTCCTGTATACACGGCCAAGCATTCATCGGCTTCATCTGTTTGACTGTAATCATATCACGTCTGCAACACTTAACATTAAGCATCAGGCATGTGTTCTGAAGTTATTACACAGTGTAAAGGTGTTTCTAAGAGATGTAGGCATTCCCAAAAGCTTATTTACTGAAAGAATTCTATGAGTTTTTGAGAGTTTACTTTATCTAAGATAATTAAACCTGTTCATATTTCATACCTCTTAAGGCTTCCCAGACCAGCTTATGTAACCTACGCCAGATACAGCTGGTCAGCTGTAAAATCCTCCACGTGGCGAGTTAGGTTCAGAGCCCCAACCTTCTCCAGCCCTTCCCTCC